TAGCTTTAAATCTGAAAGACCAACACTCCCTATGATTCAGTCACCTGCAAGATTTTAAGAATTCACAATTACTGTGGGTTACGCCGTGTCTTCCATAAAAGCAATTGTCAACCTAAGTTTGTGCAGTCTCAAGCCCACACTTCCTAAAATCTCTTTGTGATCGTTCCTCTCCGGTCTCTCATCTCCCTTGCAATTGGCTTTGTGGCCTGCCGTGTGTATATTCCAAATTTTTTTTAAAAAAAGTCAGCGTAAGCATGCACTTAAGAAGACGAGTTCTTAGAAAACAAACTCCGGAAGCCACTGATTGACAGATCTGTCTGCCCACTCTAGTTCCCTGGCTAAAGCCGTGGATGCTGTGGCTGTGCTGTGGTTGCCACTGGTGCATGCCTAAAGACGCAGGGCCATTTCTAGGTTACAATAACAACACCACACTGACACTGCAACGCCGGATATCCGAACTCATTCAGACATATACTTGAGGCTCATAAATAACTGGTGCCCCCTACAGAACACCAATACATTTTCCCATTGACAGAGCATGTTGTCTTCATGAAGAGCTAAAAATACTTCCAGCTTGCAGCATAAACACAGACACTAAACACTTTTGGAGTAGACAACTTTTATCACATTAACAGTAGTCTTGCATAACATGGCAATCTTTCACATCTTACCTGAACTATCTCTTTAGTAAAGACCCAATCTATTTTTTCTTTGCTCTGTTTGGAATGTAAATAACAACACTGCAGTCCCCGCATGCGGAACAACCATACAAGGACAACGCCGCTGGATTGAGAGAGCCCCACGCAAACTACCACTCTGAGATGCTGTACAGTGCATAATGATGGCATTCACATCAGTGGTTGAGGGGGAAAACTGCCTCCTGACCACTTCCAAATAACAAGCTGAAATTAAGACCACTGATGACCTCATGACTGCCAACTAGACTAGTAAATCCAGTTGGATGTTTTTTAATACTGCCCACTGGTGCCACAGATAGAAATCACAGCTATGGGTTTGTTAAACATCTTGAAACACAACAGGTGTATATAATTATCCAACGAAGGTTGAGATCAAGGTCATATATAAATATATATAATATACATAAATCAGAATTTTGATCATGAGTCTTCTCACCAACAGTCAACAACTGGTGTTTACAAAGTGTTTCCCACAAGGCAGCACATTTAAAATCAACAAAATATTAAATCTAATCAAATGGGGAACTAGAGTTGTGTTTTAGGAAGAGAACCGTTTTGTAGCAGATTTTATTTCTCGAGCTTGGGACAGAAGTAGAAAACCTCTGCTTCCAATGTGTGTTATATGTAAGAAGTTATGTTTTGGTGTCAGCGTGGGGTGTGCATGACACAATGTGAGATAAAACAAACTAAAGAGACAATTCACTTCATTCAAGTAAGGTCTTGTGAATAACTTATTTTTAACATTTAACATCACATACCTAAATATTTTTAACTCAGAAAAATTTCAGTACATTTTACTTTTACCAGCCATAATACCTACTTTTGGTTATGTAGCTATTTATATTTAAATAACATTCTGTTCTCCACCAGTGGTCATGTACATTTGTTTGGGAAGATACAGTAATGTATAAGAGTGGAGGTGGTGATATTTAATGGGATGCAAAGAAGAAGGTGGGTTTATGATTTCTCAGGAGGTGAACAAGTCACCTATGTCACCACAGCTGTTGTTTTATTGTCTGGAACACAATTTTTCACATCTATATGTGTGATTGGAAGCGTGATGTTGTGACCGCAGTGTTTGCATGACTGGATCTGATATTTTGGTCATGTCTGTAGGAAGCGCTGGAGGAGTTTAGGAATGTGTGACCACAGGGCCCTTTGGCCCCACGGCTGCATGTCTTCCTCCCTTGTCTGGGTCCGAAGACACGGACCATCACACCCCTGAACGTCTCCTCCAGGTCCACTGTGTGACAAACCGCAGGCGACAGCCACCCACTCACAAACTGGAAAATGACATCCCTCGGGGCAGCTGGTGCTCTCTTAGAAGTGCAGTAAAAATGGAGCAATTTCCCTTTTACTGCACTTCAGAGGAAGCCGTGATTGCTTCCGCCCTGAGTGTGGGCGACTGCGCGGCCGAATACATGTCATGTTCATGTCAATCAGCAGGTCAAAATCTGTACCTCTGTGAATGAGGCCCTGAAGTGTCAGACTCCTGCTGCCATCTGCTGGACTGCTTCGCTGAACCCACTCAGTGGCCTGTACGACACTGCCAAGGCCTGCAAATGCAAACAGAAATGTCCTCACAAAGTCAACACAATGACTTTTCATTATTTTATCAGTCTGGTTCATTTAAAATATTCATAAGATGTTTGGTAAAATTTGATATGCAATCCAGTGATCAAATCTGTTTTAAAGCCACTGCAAGTATCCATATTAATTAATAACTACATTTCACAAGTTTGTTTAAAATTTACTAAAACTAAAAAAAGTTCATTTTTCATGATTTAATGTGACACTGATAATAAATATATTTTGACTGGTGACAGTTGATATAGGGTATCTGCAAGTACATCCTTACAGTTTTTAAGCCCTCAATATAATTAGTGATGAAAATAAATTAGTTTCTTTAATAACATATTTTTAAGTAAATGATGTTTATCCTTTCAGTCTCAGCTTCCAGACACGTACATGTTCACTAATGCAAACTTAGGTTTGGCAGCTTGGCACTGTAGGTGTTGGATGAGTAACTACTTTAAACTCTCTTTGGCATGCACTGACTCAAAATTTAATTTTATTTATTTACTGGCAACAGGAAATATTTACTCAAAAGAACAGGAAGCAGAAAGTCACAACGTGGCAGAGGGCATATGTTGTCCTAACCATTCATTTACTGAAATAAATACTGGAGTCTAAAAAGGTGATTTTAGTGTTTTATTTATGTAATCAAAGGTAATCGTGTATGTAAATTAGAGTAGTATTGTTCAAGTATCTTGAGCTAAAACTAGGCTATTAGTCGACTGATTAACAAAAAATTGATCTGCAGCAAATATGATAATCAACAAAATTTTTATTTACCAGGAAAAATGCCTAAATACAGCTAAAGATGTTCTGCCATAGTTTGTCTGATATTTTTGTGAATTAAATATCTTTGGGGGTTTAAATTGTTGTTTGGACAGAATAATCTATTGTGATGGGCATTTTTCAACATACATTATATTCATCAAACTATTAAATGATAATAATAACAAAGTATTGAGCAGAATATAATTTTAATAAAAACTTTTATTTATATTGCACTTATCAAAATCAGCATTTATAATGTGGACAGGTATAAGCCAATCATTTCAAGTGAATGTGGGAAAAAAAGTCAATATACAGGTGAAAAATTAGCATATCATGCAAAAGTTCATTTATTTCAGTAATTCAACTTAAAAGGTGAAACTAATATATTATATAGACTCATTACATGCAAAGTGAGATATTTCAAGACTTTATTTGATATAATTTCGATGATTATGGCTTACAGCTTATGAAAACCCAAATTCTAAATCTCAGAAAATTAGAATATTGTGAAAAGGTTCAGTAATGTAGGCTCAAAGTGTCACACTCTAATCAGCTAATTAATCCAGAACACCTGCAAAGGGTTCCTGAGTCGTTAATTGGTCTCTCAGTCTAGTTCAGTGGAATTCACAATCATGGGGAAGACTGCTGACCTGATAGTTGTGCAGAAAACCATCATTGACACCCTCCACAAGGAGGGAAAGCCTCAAAAGGTAATTGCAAAAGAAGTTGGATGTTCTCAAAGTGCTGTATCAAGGCACATAAATAGAAAGTGGAAAAAGTGGAAAGTGGAAGGGAAAAGTGTGGAAGAAAAAGGTGCACAAGCAGCAGGGATGACCGTAGCCTGGAGAGGATTGTCAGGAAAAGGCCATTCAAATGTGTGGGGGAGCTTCACAAGGAGTTACTGCATCAAGAGCCACCACACACAGACGGGTCCTGGACATGGGCTTCAAATGTCGTATTCCTCTTGTCAAGTCTGGGCTAAAAGAAAAAAAGAACTGGTCTGTTTCTCAGTGGTCCAAAGTCCTCTTTTCTGATGAGAGCAAATTTTGCATCTCGTTTGGAAACCAAGGTCCAGAGGCTGATAGCATCCATGCCACGCAGCATTGAGGCAGTAATTCATGCAAAAGGAGCCCAAACCAAGTACGGAGTACATATGCATGATTATACTTTTCAGAGGGCTGACATTTCTGTATTTCAAATCCTTTTTTTTTTTTTTTTTTTTTTTTTTAATATTCAAATTTTCTGAGATTTTGAATTTGGGGTTTTCATAAGCTGTACGCAATAATCATCGAAATTATATCAAATAAAGTCTTGAAATATCTCACTTCACATGCAATGAGTCTATATATTAGTTTCACCTTTTAAGTTGAATTACTGAAATAAATGAAGCTACAGCCTTACATGTTTTGCTAAGGCAATCATTTGTAAGGCTTCATTTGTTCTCTTATAGTGATTTAAATTGTATTTTTGGTGTTGCAATAACAGTAATTGTTGTACTATATTGCAAATGTTATTTAAACCGAGATGCTTGATGGCAGTTTGCTAGTTTAACTGTCTGCATTCTGGCCCTTTCTACCTGTTCACATCTCCAACACGGCAACATTCATGATTTAATTATTAACACACAATAACTATTACTCTCCCTTCGACATATGTTATACTTCCTTCAAAAAAAGTATCTAATTCCCAAAATTACCTGATCAGATTAATGAGCCCAGTCCATCCATCTAGCGAGTAAGAGCTCCGTGATATTTAATGGAAGCAGATTCGACACATTTTATTTTTCAGAAAAATAAAAATGGGTAATTAAACATTTTTGAATACATACAAGCGGTCGATCCATTCCCTGCGTCCGTTTTATTTTTTATTTTAAAGCCAAAAAGAAAAAAATATGAACGTTTCTTAAGCAACGAATCAGCTGCCGGTGTTCGTCAAATTGGTCAACACAAATCGTCACTTCTCCTCGGTTCAGGCGGGCTGGTTGAACAGCGTAGCAAAGTCTTCCGTTAACTGTTGTGTAACAGAAGTTGCATTACTTTGATAGTTTAACGTGCTAGTAAGCTAAAGTAGAGACATTTCACGCGGTGAATGATCGGGAGCATGTTAGCATTTAAAACTATCGATGATTAAAGCCAGGTTAGCTTCTCCAGCGTGCAAACATTAGCTTGTGTTTCTTACATCAACGTCAGTGTTGCAGCTGTTTGGTTAACGTTAGCTTAATAAAATTCACAAGCAATGGACCGACCATCAAGGTTTGTATACCCTAATTCAAAGGGTCCCAGTTTGCCTGATATTGTTGAAAGCTAACACGTTGTTTACTGTTGACAGGAAGACAAAGACTGTGAATTACTGTGAAGCCAAGGACTTTGATGATGGTGAGAAATTATGGCCTCTTAATCTATTCTGGTTACATTTACATTATCCAGTTAACGTTACATTAGCTACAGTTATTTCCCTTTAATGCCTATCAACTTAAATACATCTTTTATTATCACTGGCTCATTAGCATGCAAAACATTTTCAAGTCTTTCAGACCAGCCTGCCCATTGGAACATTTTGAGCTGCACATGCTTTATACAAGATTTAAAATGGTACCAGTAACGTTAGTTACATCTCATTTGTGAGATTATTTTAGATGTCAATAGAAAAGAAGGGGTACACATAAGCCTACATTAACAGACTCAGTCTTCTCTCACCACCAACAAATCTCCATGTTGTCTTCATGTTGTAGCAGATGATGATTTTGCCTGTGCGATGGCTCCACCCAGCAAAAAGGCCAGGGAGGATGTGAAACAAGAGCACAAGAGATCGTCAAGCCAGTCCTTCGGTCAAGAGTCCAACTCACAATCCACAGTGATACAGAAGAGCAGGTAGACCATGCACACAACAAGATGGTGGAGATCTATACCAACTCAGAATGAGAAAAGCAGATCCTCAGTGACATTTGCACAACAAAATCAGTCTGTTTAGCTTATGAAAAGTGAAATCAGCACAAATACCAGTCTACAAAGAAAAGATGTCTAGAGCCAGCTGTAATGTAAAAACACTGTGTGACGGGTTTAAACTGGTCATGCAAAGTGAATATAATGATGTCTCCATTGGGATTTTATCACCACCCAATGGAAGATAAACTGGAGTATCAGGGACTCTGGCTGTTGTACACGTAGTGAGTTTAATGAGTATACATCAGGCTGATCACTGGCTCGGGAAAGGACATGAAAATCAGTGTTCTCCCTAGTGCTGACTGATTGTTGTATTTGCATTGTCATACGAAGTGTGCCATGACAAATCGCAAATGACTGCCTGACATGTGATGAATAAGAAAAATCTTTTTATTTAGGGATGAGTACAGAAACCTGATATTAAATGGGCCCCTGGGCGAAAGACCGTTGTATCTATCTTGAAGAGTAAAATAAAAGTTGAAAATCTTTTTACACAACCTAACATTATGCATATAACATGGCTTGAATCTTCTCAACATTAATTCTGTTTTTTTACAGAAGACCATTGGATGAGAAGTTGCATGAAAGAGATCTAGAAGCAGCCATTACACTATCCCTGCTGAATAATGCAGATGGGATAAAAGACCAGTCTTCGACCAGTAAAGGTATGGGTTTGAAAACTTAATTGTGTGTTGTTTAAGAGCTGTCAACTTAAATTCCTGTTCACTTTCTCCAGGAGATGTCAAGGTTCAAGATCCAGTAGATGAAAACACAGATCCAGCATCTTTGCACTTGTCCAACTGCAGTGTGCATACTGCAATTTGGGGTACATTTTCCAAATGTTTGTCCACTGCACATCTTTAATAGCACATGTCACTTCCTCATGCTTTATAAATACATTGTTCTTAATTTAATCTTGTTTGAGGATAAATTTTTTGTTTTCTTAAGGCCTGGATGAAATCACACTAGAAAAAGAGTCACTTGCCCATTCAAGACAGAGAAAGGAGTCTGTCACTAAAGCCACTGAAGAGCATAAGAAAAAGCCTACGGATGAAGATGAAGACTATGAGCCCAAACTGATGCCAGGTTATTATCCTGCCATTGCTCCATAAATATTTGGTTTCGGTTTATGTAGTTTCCATGTTTTTTTCTTTATTTTTGTGTCAGTAAAATATAAATAATGCATTTCCAGATTCAGAAAGTGATGAAGATTTCAGTGAACCAGCTGAGAGTGAAGATGAGGAATTCACAGTGAAGAAAGTCAGCAAAACAAAAAAGGAGAAAGCAACCAAGAACGTGAAGACCAAACCGCAGCCTTCTGCCTCTAAAAAAGAAAAGCGAACATCAAAACCGTCAAAGTCCAAATCACAGGCAGCAGGTACGTTCTTGAAGTTCATCAAAGAAGATTTAACTTTTGGCTGTGATTGTAATTGAATTTGGTCATTGTTATGAGAACTACGTTGTCTCACAGCAGCTTCCACACCAGTGAGAAGTCCTCCAACAGCCAAACTTGCACCCAAAAGACCGGCGTCATCCTCCACAGCTTCCACATCAAAACCTGCATTCTCTCTGAACCCAGCAGGGGGCAGAATACCCAAGTGGACCCCACCAGGTGCAGTTCAAGTGAATGACAGCAGCGATATAATCCTTTAAAAACACTTACTTCTGTAAATAGATCGCCAATGTTACATTTTGTTTCCCCAGGTCAAATTGGTAGAAGTCCTAATTCATCCCAGAGTCCAGCAGTGAAGTCTCCAGGTCAGGGTCTGCGACTAGGGCTGTCCCGTGTGGTTCGAGTCAAACCTCTTCACCCCAGTGTTGCGAGTCACTGATTGAATAACCACCAGTCTTGTTGTGTTAGCTTTATCACTTTTTTTTTTTAAAATACCCCCCCCCCCCTTTCTGCTTTTTACACATATGACGAGATTCCCAGGATATATTTTTCACATGATGCTTTTTGGGCACACATGCCACTTGCACCTTGAGCTTATTTCAACATACATAGTAAAAAGGTGATGGAACAGTGATTTGGTGTACTTTGTTGACCCTAGTTATTGAAATCATAATTAATTCCAGTTTCACACCTTTATCAGTACAGTTGGTCATCCCCTTCTCAGATTTGAGTTTGAATGGCATGTGGAAGAATGAATTGTTCCTGATAATTGATCTGATAATATTCTCCCATCTTTTCCTATTGTGTGTAAAGGCTGTATATTTTGTACATATAAATATAAAATAAAATTTAAAAGCAGTTTAATATAGTATATTTGTGTCTCCAGGAGGTATTACATTGATTTTCAAAATTACCATTTCATTTTATTTATTAGGATCCCCATTAGCTGTAGCCGAAGCAACAGCTATTCTTGATCCAGCTCTAATCTGTAAAAATCAGTCAACTGAACAAACAGAAGAAGGAAAAGAATCTATTATCTATTCTAGATAGTACATTGTGCTGTATAGAGTCTAGATACTACCTGGATGAGGAAAGCTGTTGTTTCAGTGATACTTTAAAGCAATTTTTACTGTTTTCCTGAATAATATGCTCGGGCAGAGTGTTCCATACAACCATGGCTCTCTACATGTTCTTTATCACACAGTTTTTATAAAAAGTGCAGTGGTGGTATGTAACTAAGTACTCAAGCGACATTTCAGATTGAAATCCTGTACTTTTTACTTCACAACTTTCATTTATTTGACATCTTTAGTTACATTACAAATTAAGAGTATTGCAAATAACATACACAGAGCTTATAAAAGTATTTTTGTTATAAATGAAACTACCCAACAGTTTATGCAAGTACAGCTGAAACGATTAGTCAATTGAGAGAAAATAATTGGAAACTATTTTGATAATTGTTTAAGCAGCTTAATATAGAATAGTTAAAAATAGCCTCATCCGACCACTACTTCATATCAACTAACGACAACAGTAAAATCTAATAATAATTAATAATCTAATGATATGTAATAGTATTGAGTTGTAATATTTTAAGTACATTTTCCTGATTACTTACATACTTTTAACTCTGAAATGGGCCATTATGGATAATGCGTTTACTTTTGGTACTTTAAATACATTTTGATTTTATTACTTTTGTAGCCTGCTTTTTACTTGAGTAACATTGTCAATGTGGGACACATTGTGGTATTAGTACTTTTACTTAAGCAAAGGATCTGATTACTTCCACTCTGCAAAAAAGTTTGACTTAACCTTTTGGTCTGCTATGATTCATCTCACACAAGGCTGTCTTTATGCTAAGCTAAGCTAACCAGTTGCTGGCTGTAGCTTTGTGTTTAATAGACAGATATGAGAGGGAGCTTGATCTGATCTAATTCTACACCACATAGCGAATATTTCCCAAAATATTGAACTATTATTTTAAGAGGCCTCTGGAGTTCAGACATTTAAGAGCAGCAGGAGTAGACGTGAAGTGGTTTTAGGTCTGCTGCCATCTTTCCTTGTAGCAAATTGATAAATACAGGCTCTGGTTGTACTTTATAAGAAATGACCTCAGATTAGAGTGTTTAATTTGGTCATATCAGTGCACAGCCTGAGTGACTGATTTTGACCCCAAATGATATCCTCAGTGACCTGTTGCGTCTTTTTCACACTGGAAACTGAATCTTTTGTCTGAAAACACAAAGCAGGAATAAACTTTACACTTTTACAATGAGCAAAAGAAAAATTATTATTATAAAACAGATTTGATGCAATATGAAACCTGGACATGCAGGGAGTAAAAATAATAAATGAAATAAAACAAACAACAAAAGGCATGTCACACAAACAATGTGTTTTGCATAAAATTGAAGCTTGACAGAATAAAAACATTAAGTTAATAAAATCTGCACATTTGTCCAGGTTGTCCCCAGTCATGATAACAGCAAAGAAGTCTGCGTTGCGGCAGCATTACAGATTACAATTAAAATTGTGACATGTAGATTTAATTATAGTAGATTATCCTTATACAAATGGTACTCTTTAACTAAAATACTAAATACAGGAACAGCTATATCTCCCCATAACATTTTCCTTTGATAAAAATTAATTCCACAGGTCATGAACACCATTATTCTAAAAGATAAGAGCTCCAAAATATTCCACAGGTGTTGAATTGGGTTTTTGATTTGGAGACTGTAAAGGCCTTAGTGTCATTTTCAAACCATTCAGTGACTCCATTAGTGTGCTTGAATATTCACCTGTGGGTTGGTGCCTTCCAGATATTTCTGTGTACACGAGTATGAAACGGCTATTCGTTGTTACGTAAAACATTTAAACCAAAGTTGGCCACAGCTGGAAGATACTTATTTTGGATAAAAAAATGATCTCGATAGTGTGGGGTTTGTTTTGCGATTAGGGTTTAGGTAACATGATGTAGGGACTAAACCAAACTTGTGCACATTTAGGATGATAAAAAATTAATTAACTGCATGTACTGTATGTCAGCTATGTTCCCAGTTCTACCGGACGATACTGATTTGTTTGATGTGCCATCTTTCATCATCAGGCTGGTAATTAAAGCGAGTCCACATGCACACAAAAATTCCAAAAGCCAAATTAATTTATTTAATTAAAAAGAAAATAAGGTGGAGTGTGGAGATATAGATGTAGTCAGTTGTCTGAGTATGGATGAATAAAAAGTATGTGTGTGAGTGTCCAAACTAAACCAAATAAAGTATATCTTAGTATATCTTAAATCTTAAACTAAACAGGTACGAAGGCCTTAAAGATATAAAGAAAGCATTTTTTGGGAGAGCAGACCTTTTGTGTCTTTGGCCCCTCCCTCCGCTCAGATGCAGGCAGTTGCTCTGACAATCCACCCAGGCTCCTGCAAGAAGACGACAGCAACACAGGCAGCCAGGCTGGTGGGCTGTCACAAATGATATAGAACATTATTTTACATTATTATCTACTGTTGTGCTTTTTATTGGGAATTACACAAGACATTTTGTGGTAAGATAAACATACGAAACATGTAAATGAACCAGTTTTACTTGGAGATAGTCTTAAGCAAGGTTTAAACTTTCTGCGTCTGTGAGTACCCTTTTAAACTCATGCCAAGAACAAAACTGTCTACACTCCTCCTCGCACCTGTGTTTTTATCTACTACAGAAGACACTCAGGACTGTAAGCTCATTTTAAGAGGTTCACAAGGAGAAAAAAATCATTGTCATTGTATAAAGAAATATCATGCAGAGAGAACTGTTTAAACCATAAAACATATTAAAACTCATGTGTGTATATATAGTGTTTCCTCTAATAAAACTTAACATAGTGTAACATAACGTAAATATTAAAAAAAAAAAAACGTTTAGTACCTTTTAAAATACACAACACTCCTGCTAAGGTTTAAAGGGGGTGGAGCTATGCAGAGTGTAATTGATGTCAGCAAAGTCTGTTTGCCAATAGAAAAAAAACAATAAACATGGCTGACCGTGACAAACTGTTTCTTTGGCAAGTTTATGCACAGTTAAACACTCAGCACTTGGTGTTAATTAAAAGGTTGGCCATTCTTTTCAAACAAGTGATACGTTACTCATTAACCGTGTATCCCTCTAGCTCCATCAGTTGGTAATCCTCAAAAGTTGTAGGCTATATTTCCAGAAGATGATTTTCAGAGATTGTTTACTGTAACCAGCTACCTAATAACATTGACAAAATATTTCCACATCATTACATAAGTTTCACTATTTAATACTAGTATGTATTCTTTTAATTGAATACTTTAAATTGCCTTTTAGTTTATTGTTCACCAGTTACAATGTGTGCTTCTATGGGAGCTGCCATTGTTGTGTGAAGTCATTCGGCTGCTCGTGAAGTCGGGGTAAATATTTTTTTCTCCGAGTTCACAAGTAGGAAATCCAACTTCAAGCGGCGTTCCAGGATAGTTTTTCTAATTGAAGGTTGAAAATTTCCCAGTTCTGAGTTGCCAGGAACTCAGCATTTGTTCACACCAAAACAGTAAATGCTTGCTTGAAAAAAAAAAAGATTGCCAGCTTATTTTAGCATAAAGACTAAAAACAAAAGACACAGCTAGCTTGGTTCTGTGCTGGCTTCTCTAAAGCTCTTGAATTAACACATTATACACTGCTCAGACTTTACTGTACATTGAATAATTTGTTGAGAACAAAATGACATAACAACAGTCAGTGGAAACCAAAGTCACCAACCGATTGAGTGCTGGATTCAAAATTATTCTGAATTTCACTGACTGAAAATGAAAAAGTAAAATACATTTAAATCACAGGCTGATATAACTTGCGTGAATTTCTTGTGTGTATGGCTCCCACATGCCTGTATGCTCCTGATGAGACGGCGGATGGAGTCCTGGATAAGGGCATCAGCTCCTGGTCAGTTTGTGGTGCTTCTTGGCTGCGTCATATGCAAAGAGACAAACTTTCCCAGAGGTTCTCAATTGGATGGAGTCTTTGTCTGATTGTTTGGTCAGAAGTTTGTTTGAGTTCGGGATTAGGGAGGCTCTCTCGACTTTCCAAGTAAGAAATCCGATTTAAGGGCGTTCCCGTTGAAATTCCCGACTTGGAACACGGATTATCCAACTTCCCATGTCAAATGGCACGTAGGCTACCATTAAACTGTGACTGTGTGTTTAGGGCAGAGCCATTGTTAGCTTGCATTAAAGAGGACCGAACTGTGATGCTGACACCAGGATTAGACAAAGTCAGTTTGGATGATTTGACACTGACTCCACGCATGCTTTATAAAGGACATCCTGGCAAATAAGTAAACATTCAGTTCACCAAAATCGCAACAAACACACATTATAATTTGATATTTTGGGTAATGAGATATTTCATTTTCTTCTCAAGAAATCTATGATTATTTCCATCTAATATGAAGCTGGAGACATTTGGCTAACTAGTCACTGCTTTCTATTATCTAAACCATACAAGGTAACTGAAGGATCTAAGATGCCTAAGTGTATCTTTTGGTGGTTATTTTCCCAGGGTGTTTACCTGCCCTTTATCTAATGCATGCTGCAATATGCGAGGCAAATAATGGAATATTTACATGTGTATATTTGAACAGTGTGCACATTGCTTTTGGACTAGAGTTTGCTTCCTTGGACAATTTTGGCCTGCATTAAACTTATCAGCATTATTTCTAATATGTCCAGGATCCTTTAAGCATAGTGGCATATAGCCATGTATCTGTGTATCTTTTGTTGGTTATTTTTCCAGGTGTAGCTGTGCGGAGGAAGCATAGAAGTCATACCTTGCTCTAAAATTGCCCACATTGAACAGGCCGTTAAGCCTTACCTCCCAGACTTGAGTTTAACAGTAAAGCATAATGCACTGAGGGTGGCGGAGGTGTGGATGGATGAATATAAATAAAATGTCAACATTGCCTGGAAACTTCCCATAGAGGTAAGGGATGACACCTCATTAATCAAATAAATTACAACTTCTCTCAATACACAAATTAGGCATTCTGCACAATGAGTACTTTTACTTTTGGTACTTTTAAGGACATGTTGATGCTAATATTTTGTTTTCAATGCAGGACCTACAAAGTATCTTTATAGTGTCCCCTCGAACAGCAGCAGCCAAATGGTTTGTGATGTGAAAGGTAGTACAAGGATGCATTGTGTCCTGTTTGCATTTCCACATCTTTGGTGACATCAACGTGGTTGGGAATAATAAGGAAAACCAACATGATAATCAGGCCATCTCAAGCCTTTAGATCAGCTTCAGTGCTCCATGATTTGATTCTATTGTAAACAACATTCATATGTATTACTCATTTGTACAAATATTTGTAAAAATGAAAAGAAAAACTAATAATATGAGTATAAACAGATTTAATGCAATATGAAACCTGGACATGTAGGGACTAAAAATGTAAAATAAAATAAAATTTTGAATGAAATTGAGGCTTGACACAGTCTAAAAACATCCAGTGAAACTGCACTTGGTGCGAATTTGAGGATATTAGTTAGCACAGCTATGGTGTGTCAGAGTGCATGACTGTATTTCTGTAAGTGTGTGTGTCTGGAAGGGGTGAGGAGAAAGAGAGAGGAGAGAGAGCACCTGAGATTCAAGGTAGGGGAATACTTGCTCCTCCTTTTTCATGTGAGACACAACAAAGCACTTGACATGTACAGACGTACCAAGATGAGATCTGGCTGGATTAAAGGATCAATTCTGGCCTTTGCCGTGACTGCGGCTCTGCTATATCTTGGCTCTATTAAGATGGACGTCCATACCCATTCAGAGAGACTCCAGAGGGCCCACGACAATGACTCCATCAGGAGTCAGAGAATTATTCATAGGATGGACAAGATGGAAATGAACATCAACAGGCTGGGTAAGTCAAAGTCTCAGTACAGCTGGTTCTGTCTTTTTCTTTTGTTGTTATGAAAATATAAAATTAAGTTTTGCTTAGGTGATTGCAGGTCAAAAGATGTAGATGTCTTGATAGAATCTGGGCGAAATTTAGCTGAAATGTTTTGGACCTTTAGGCTCAATATAAGAGTCTTGTTTTCAACATACAATTGACCTGCTTCACATTCACATTCGGTAATTAAAATTGTGTTAAAACAATTGTAGTATTGAATAGGGCTGCAAATAACAATTGTCATTAGCAATTTATCTGCTCACTATTTTTGAATTAATGTATCAACTGTTTTGTCTACTTTCTTCTCGTTGTAAACATTGTGTTGTATAATTCTAAATTACCTTGATATGTGACAAAGTAAAGCAGCAAATCCTCACATTTGAAACCATTGAATCTTTTGCATTTTGGTTGAAAATTGACTGAAACATTATCAAAATAGCTCTATTTAATTTTCTTTTGATCAGCTCATCAATTCATCGACTAAGAAACTTTCACTCACCCACTTCTAACTAAACTTAACTCCAAATCACCAAATTAATGCAAACAGGTTGATCACATGTTAACAAACAATTTTCACATTAATACTTTGGATTTGATTAATCAAAGTACAGTTAAAAAGTAATGCAAAGACCAACACTCACTGATTTTTGTAATATGGATATGTATATAAGCACTTTTTTCAGCCTTCTGTCATTCCATTGGCATAGAAAAAAATGCTTGATAAAACAAATACTCTGATCCGCTCTTCTTTCGACAGTCAGTCTGATAAATAATCTTGATAAGAAGGAACCAGCACCACAGAAGAACTCAGAGGTGAAGAAGGAGAGGAAGGTGGTGAGGAAGCTGTACCCGAACTCTGCTCTGTTCAGCAAGTGGGGTAATGAGCTTTCAGAGGAGGAGCAGAAGGAGGCCGAGAATTTGTTTCAGAGATACGGCTACAACGCCTTCCTCAGTGACAGGCTGCCCCTCAACAGAGAGATCCCTGACACCAGGCCTGCCAGGTGATTATCATTTCCTGCTCATAACTACTGACAAACTACACCTCATTCACACACAATGAACTGCTTTACTGTATGATGCCTGTTTAGTGTGAGACCCTGGTGTTTGACAATTTTTAAAAAAAAGAACTGTTATTACTTTCTATAAGGGGAAATCCAGTTATTTTAAAAGTTTTTTTTCCTCTATTTTAGACATTTTATAGACCAAATGATTAATCTAAGATGTAGCTTATATAAAAATGTGTCAATTAACATGAAATTCAGAGGAAATAACATCTACTACCAAAGTTTCCCTCTGAAATTTAATTTGCTTCTTATGATTGTGACTGAAAACAAGCACAAGTTTTTAATCAGAAAATGCATCACTTTTTCTTCCCCTCACAGGTGTGCTGACAAAAAGTACCCAGAGGATCTGCCTACCATCAGTGTTGTTTTAATCTACCTGGATGAAGCTCTTTCTATCATCAAAAGGGCCATCCGCAGCATCATAGACAAGACGCCAGCTCGGCTGCTGAAAGAAATCATACTGGTGGACGATCACAGCAGTAATGGTAGGTCGACCTGCTACGGCTCTGGCTCTCAATTTATTATCAGAGTATGTCTGATACTCTGAGAATATATTTTATCTCATACACATAGTGGTATGTAGCCATACCGATAGATATTTTAGATTTTTGCATCTGAGTTCACACCAAAACAGGAAATGCTTGCATGAATTTGTCCATTGTACAGGTTACAATCTATACCACTATCATATTTGTGTGTTAAAGGAGACAGCTAGCTTTTAGCATGAAGACTAGAAACAGTAGGACACAGCTTGCTTGGTTCTGTCTTTGTGTTTACCAGCACTTCTAAAGCTCTTGAATTAATTTGTGACTAAATATTTAAATTCTGCAGAGGATTTAATGGAGAAACTGGATGAATACATCAACTCCATCCATGAGGAGGTTCCAGGCCTGGTGAAGAAAGTCAGGCACTCGGAGCAGCTTGGCCTCACCCAGGCCAGACTGTCCGGATGGAGGGCTGCTGTTGGAGACGTGGTGGCCATCTTGGATGCTCACATAGAAGTCCATGTGCAATGGTTGGTCCAAGTGGAGTGATCTGAGTTGTCACTGTCAAGTTGTCGGCTGTGCTATGGTGATGATAAGTCATCACACTTTTTGTTTGTTCAGTCAAGTCATGTAACTGTTACACTGTCCCTGTGTGTGTTTAGGGCAGAGCCATTGTTAGCTCGCATTAAAGAGGACCGAACCGTGATACTGACACCAGTGTTTGACAGAGTCAATTTTGATGATTTGGCACTGACTCCCTACACACCTGCAGCAGATGCCTTCGACTGGGCTCTGTGGTGCATGTATGAGTCCTTCAGACCCGAGTGGTACGCTTTAAAGGACGAGTCACAACCTGGCAAGTAAGTTCCGGTTTAAACATTCAGTTCACCCAAAACACAACAAACTACTTTAACATTATAAATAAACATTTTTGGTGAAGTAATTTTATATTTTCTTATTATAAACCATAGCTGAGAAGACCAATCCCACTCATACCTTTCCTTTTAATTTAAAGCTGACTGCAGACATTTGGCTAGCTAGTCACTGCTACCAACCAAGAAAAAGTTAGGCACACAAATGTAAACTACCCAAGCAGGTCCTATTGAGTGCATTAATAAACAAAATTGAGCCGTACTTCAAAGTGATCTGTCACATTACTGTTTTACTTCAGAACCTATTTATATGATGTGATATTGTACACATATATTAGAAACAATGTTGTCTGACTGGAAACTGAGGGCTTTGACTCATGACCTCAGTATTTAAACTATTGGCTACTGTTGGCAGAAGATTCTCACGATATCTCAAAACCTCAGTAAATGAAAAATCATCTATGTATATGTTGCTGGGGTGAGGTGGGGGCTGAACTTTTGGTCACTCTGTTTACTCTCCTATTAAAAATGCATAAAAATAAAGTGTGGATGGTGGGTGTGGTGACCCTTTAATCACTTTTATTACTCTTCTATTTAAAATGCCAGTGAAGTGTGGTTGGTGTTTTCATTTATTGTCAAATTCTGTCCTCAGGAGCCCCTCCATCATGGGGATTCTTGTTGCTGATCGTAAGTTCTTTGGAGAGATCGGAAGTCTTGATGGTGGAATGAAAATATATGGAGGTGAAAATGTGGAGCTTGGCATCCGGGTAAGATTTACGGGATGTTTCAAAGTGACCAAAACACTGTAAGTAAAGTAAAAAAACAACTTTGTTTGCTGTTGGTTGGTTGGTTGCATGGGTTTCTTTCAGTAATCTAAATCATACAAGGAAGCTTCTAAGATGCCAAAGTGTATCTGTGTATCTTGTATTTTTCCAGGTGTGGCTGTGTGGAGGAAGCATAGAAGTCATACCTTGCTCTAAAATTGCCCACATTGAACGGGCCGTCAAGCCTTACCTCCCAGACTTGAGTGTAATGGTAAAGCGTAATGCACTGAGGGTGGCGGAGGTGTGGATGGATGAATATAAATACAATGTCAACATTGCCTGGAACCTTCCCATAGAGGTAAGGGAAGACACCTCATTACTCACATAAATTACAGCTTCTCTCAATACACAAATTAGGCTTCATAACTTTGTGCAAACCCTATAGTTCCTCTTACTGATCAAACTTTTTGTGGCCTTTTTATCCTGATGTTTCCTACAGAATCATGGGATAGATATTGGGGATGTATCGGAGAGGAAAAAGCTGAGAGAGAGGCTGAATTGTAAGCCCTTTAAGTGGTATCTGGATAATATTTACCCCTTGCTGGACCCTCTGAAGGATCTGCTAGGTTATGGAGTGGTGAGTAGAAACAATATCAAATGTGACCACTGCATACGTTGCTTCTGCTGTATAATTGTATTACTCTGTACTTATTTGTTCGTAAACTGATGCCATATTCGTGTAACTTGCTTATAATCTCTAAGTAAGAATGTGTAACAGCAAATATTATCCAGGAAATATTGAGTTAAGTCTTGTTCATTCTGAAATCCCAAATGTGTTTAACTGGTAACCATTGTAATATTACAACTATAAAGTAATTGTTTCCTTTCCTTTTATTGATTGCTTGAAACCAAGAACGATATAACCGTTTGACAATTAAGGTGTGATTGTGGAAAGATATAGGAATAATTGTGTAATTATTAAACCCATAAAATTACCTAGGGAGTCCGGAGACCCTAGGCGAACTGAATCTCCAGTGGTGCCCTTCAACAAGGATTTATAAATATTAATATTCATAATTTGTATTAAAACCAAAAGTAGGTATGCCACACTAGAATATCCCCTCTCCTTTACCTAAGGAACATTTTAGGGTAGTTTCAGTCAACCTAAATAGACCTAACGATGTCTATACTTATATGATTATGTATATGTTGTGTTGGCAGCTGATTAATGACCTGAAGCCAGATCTCTGTGTTGACCAAGGCCCAGTTCCTGGGAACACACCCATTGTATATGCATGCCACCGCTACTCACCACAGGTATGTTCAGAGATGCACTGTATGCACACAGACTGTTATTTTTATTTGTTTGTGGGTAATTATTGTTCTTTGGTATAGCACTGTTATTATCGCTCTGATGGACAACTCTACATTGGCGGAATCAAATCTCACAAGTACAACAACAACCGCTGTCTGGTGGACCCCGGCACCGGAGTCTACCCAGGACTCTACAACTGCAAACTGGCCCAGCAGAAGAACTTCCACATGCTGTGGGATTTTAAACAGGTAAATATTACAGTCTTAAAATACAAATCACACCAAAGAGGTCAGTCTATTTGGAGAAAAAGAAATGTACTTCGTTGTTTTATTCCCAGAAAGGACCAATCCAGAACAGAGAATCAAAGAAATGTCTAGAAGTTGCAATGGGTGAAGACGGCTATTACAAACTTGTTGTCCAGCAGTGCAGTGGTCAGAGGTGGAAGATAGAAAATCTCATTAAAGACCATGGAAAGGCTGCTGGGCAGGGCCCAGAATACAATATTTAATTGCACAACAACTGAATTTCATGCCAGAGAAAGATATGGAATGGTTGCTTGTCTTTGGAGTGAGTTTATAATTTGCCCTGGACGACTTGGATCCACAAGAGTCAGACGAGCAATAGAACTAATACTTTTCTATTTAATTCTTGCTTTTGCATCATGCTTTTTTGACAATGCAAAATGTCCCAATGAACATTGCAATAACAGTTTTTCACTGTGGTCAACTTATAAAGTTCCTTTTGTAGTTTTTCCAGTAAAAAAACTATAGTTTAGAAACTCGTGTGAGGGTTTTAACTTACCTATAGTACCCACGTTTCTTTGTCCGACCTAATTTTAACTCAGTTCAGTGTATCCTTTTACAAAGAAACAAAGTCCCAATTAAACACTGTACACTGACTTTGAATTGTTTACATAAAGGCTGCTAATGGTCTATACATGTTTACTCTATGACTGTTTGCTCAATGACAAACATTCAAGTCAAATAGGATCTGTTATGCTATGGTTTGGTAACCATGAATGATCGATGATGATGGCATCCCATTGTTTCTGCCACCTGATGTGACACCTGACCTTCAGATGAGCTGGCAGGGAGCTGTACCTGCAGGCAGTCTTTTAAACACTGACTTGTTTGACTAACGATTTCCAATAAACTAGAAATTACACATTATTTACTGCTAGACTACTGTACGTTTTCTCACTTCCTACAGCCTTTAATTTCCATTTATTTCTGACATGAAAATCAACTTGCTGTTTTGCAGAGATGTGGACTCCATCGAATGACTTGGACTCGAGTCAGACTCGAGTCACAAAAATCATGATTTTAGACTCAACTTGACAAAATCAAAGAAGACTGGCGACTGGACTTTGATTTGAACAACAATGACTCGTGACTTCACTTGGACTTGATCCTTTTGACTCGAGCTGACTTGACACTCCCCATGCCCGAATATAAATTATGATATAAAAAACTGCGCAGCGCATCAACATAGCACTGTGCTCAATTAGACTGGAGCGTGTGGCTTCCTCCAGCAAGAGGGAACAATCACCGACCATCCGAAGCGCACCCGGCCGTTCCGCGATCTCCTGTCCCTGGCCCTGTACGCTCCAGCGACCCACTCCCTCTCCGGTACCTACAATGGGTTGTGTAGTAGGCCTACTACCAGCGCGCTGTGAACGGTTAGTGATCGTTCCCTCTGGCTGGATGAATTTTACGCATAGGCTAATCCATGCACAACAGCTGGGGGGCTGACGCACCCCTTTCCTTCACAGCTGAGCCTCTCGTCCCTCCCTAAGAGGTGTGTTCAGTGTTGCTTTACCTGATTGGTTTTTGTAAAATATCCTCTGTGTCTGCGTCATCTAACATCATAGCGATTTATAGTTTTCTCACCTCTGGTTTCTGTCACTGCATCTCCCCACAAAACACCACGGTTTTATTTCAGCGTTCTGTATAGCTTCATCAACTCGAATAGTTCACCTGTCACCTGCTCTGCTCCCCTCCGTGCACACGCGCACACACACGCACGCACACACGCACACATACACACACACACAGCCCCCTCAGTGACCCATCCGCCACCCAAAGCTGTCAGCTTGGGTGGCGAAATAATTAGCAGCCATACATGAACATGTAATTTAATTAATGAAATGTGTTGTGTGAAACTACACCCCTGCCTTCCTTCTGTACAGGCTAATGCTTCATTTAATACATTGTTTTATTTTTAACTTGAGAAAACTTTTGAAATGTTTTTTAAATTTGGTGAAGAATGCATTATGACTTGTTCAGAACTCGAAACTCAAAGTTTAAGACTTGGACTTGACTTGGACTTGCTGGTCCTTGACTTGAGACTTGACTCGGACTTGTAAAACAATGACTTGGTCCCACCTCTGCTCTTTCGGTTGTTTCTTATAAAAATAACGTTGCTATTCAGAGGTCTGTTTAACGAAAGCACTTGAAATTTGCAAGGTCAGAAATACGCTGTTTTCATTTTCATGTGTTAAAATGAAATTGTGTTCAAATTAATTTGAGAAGAAACTATCTAACGTTGCAAATTTGGTGAAACAGGCCCCAGAATAGAGCTCCTAAATCTCAAAAGGGTTCAAAGGGTCACAAAAAATTAGGGCTGGGTATTGTTTAAAAAATGATGATACCAATAATCAGGACCCTTAAAGTGATACCAATAGAGTAACAATACCTTTCTTGCCTGATACATACATTGAGTACAGATACCCAGCCCTACTGAACATAGACATATTATATTGGCAGACATGTCTTCCAAAGCCAAGTACTGTATTTTCCCATGCACATCATTGTTTGCAATTGTGAGTGTCTCGCTCAAGGACACCTCAACATGTGGACAGAAGGAATCATGTACCCTTACAGACGTGATGATGGTAAACATGTTACAATAAGTTTGCGAGGGCTCAGTCCGCAAGTCTAGAGGGTGGACATTTGAATTCAGCAATATTCTTTTCTATTGTGCCAATGATAATATGCTATCTGACCTGGTTTGAGATGGGGCAAAGCTCCACAGCCACCTTTCCTTCCCAAGAAAGATCTTTGGCAAGGGGATGCCGTGTCCAATGCAGTGTGGTGTTAAACAGAATGTCACAATCCTGTCCTGAGGTTGTCCGGTGTTATATTATTTTGGCCAGGCCTTCTCTGTTTTGATTTTGGTTTCTCTGTTTCAGGGTTTTGGTTCTTGATTCTGAGTTTTGGGTTTTGTATCTACTTTTTAGTTCTGTCATCTGTTGAGTTTAGTTCACTGTGTGTTATCAGTTCGGTATCTGTTATTTAGTCCGGGTTATTAGTTATCTGGTTATTATCTGTGCTTGCCTTAGTTCCTGTCTTAATCTGTAATTGTCTGGTGTTCTGTCTAATCCTAGTTTCAGTCCTGCCTTGCCCCATTAGGTTGTTTTCAACTCCCTGCCTCTGTGTTCTAGTTCTGTGTTCTTTTATAGATTATTGTCTGGTATTTTGTAACATGTGTTCTGTCTGTTCCCCCCAGTAATCTGCCTGCCTGCCAGTCTCTGTTTTTCCCGGCTGTCTTTCTGCCTGCCTCGTTAGCCTTGATCCCTTCACCTGTGATGCTCCCGCCCTGCTCGTTAGTCACTGGTCTATAAATGTTTGGTTTTTCTGTTCAGTCCCCTGTCTGGTCATTGTTGTATGTTGTGTGAACTACCAGTTGCTGCATGTTTGATGTTTACTGTGAGTTTTGTTCATGTCTAGTGTGTTTTGGATTAATATACCCTGGAACTAAATCTCTGCTCTCAGTGTCTCCTGCTTTGCACACCCAGTGATCCTGACACAGAAGGGTGTCAAGAATGTTTTGATCCACATCCGTGCCTTCATCAAATATACACAGTGGAATCAAAAGATTTTTTTTAACTTTTGAAAAACGGCAAGTCTGTATATTTCATTGGTATTAAAGGAACCGCTCTACTGCAGACCCTCTGAGAAGGGTCAGACATCCCATCAGTCACTCTTACAAACTACAGCATGGGCACATAGGTGTCAAGATCACCACGTCTATATGTGCCACAGGAGGGTGCTAGAGCATGATCACACACCCTCCACAAGAGCAGGATTTCTGTATTTGGTGCTGTAAAGAAAGACATACTCGGTGTGAGACATGAACTAATGACATTAAAGTCCTTCTGGGTTGGAGCAGAGGATGGTGTAATTTTTGCAGCAAAGTGTGTTTTTCATTTCCATAACATTTTAAGTTTGAGACACAATCTGTAAGGTCATGTACAGTCTTCAGTTTTGTTTCTAGGATGCTTTTTTTTCTCTGTGATTGGTTGGAGCAGACACAATGCCCCATGCAACTTATGAAGTTGGGTAGAGGTCTCATCTCATCCTATACACACAATCAACAGCCAAATCAAGAAATGCATGTTAGTACATTTACAACTATGAATTTTGTCTTCGTAGGTTTAGTCCACAATTATCTGGGCAGTTTACATGCTCTGATAGTGCAGTGCCACTTTGAAAACCTTCCTTTAAAGGAAAAACAAACTGTAACACTGTATCCACACAAAAAATCATAACAAACATTGAGGCATCACAATGTCAAAAAAGAGATATCATACAAAGGTTTAGTTTTCATCAAAACTACAAATTCACCAAAGGCAGTAAGATAGGTGTCAATTATAATATGTACAAAAGAAGGATAAACTGCAAAAATAATAATAAAAATATAGCCACAAGTGGCAATGATCGGGATCCAAGCATGTCTGAAAAAAGCAACATTTTTAGAGGAGAAGAACAGACAAAGATGACTTAAGAGATTAAAGTGATGAAAGAATTTGGTCTTTGATATAATTGCAGAAATGCAAACTTGATTTTTACAGCATCACCTTGAGATCAGAGTGTCATTAATGTACCTGACTACTGGGTGAAATATTCAACCCACCTGGTAAATTTTGTGTTTCAAAGGTTTAAAGTTTAAACTGCACAAACACTGTTAAGCAGAGAAAAATCAGAAGAAAGTCTCATGGGATCCAAATAAAATACAGAACTCAAACTCACTATGATCTGAACCCCCCTCCCCCATTGTCAGCAAGTCAGAATTGGTCACCAGAGGAGTTGAACTGTGGAAATTCAGCTCTGCAGAGTAGGTGACTTACTGACTGAGCTAGTGGTGAGAGAGGCTGGTTTCACACCCCTCACAAGTTGAGTGACATCACATGTGCCAGACCTGGATTTGTCAGTTTAAACTTAAAAGGCTTACAACAGTCAAGATGTTGGTGAGAAGATTCTGAAGAAACTCAGTCATCATTCTTCTGGTTTTGGGTGTGTTGTCAATTATTTTGATGGCATTTGATCCAATAGCAAGATACTGAATATCACAGCAGACTCACTGTTTGGCCGATTTAAAAACGCTTTGAAACACTTGATATCAGCCATCTAGAGAATGTCTGTGATGATTTTCTGAAAGACTTGTGAATAGAGATGTTAATTGATTTAGCATATTTTGAAAAATATAGCGTGAATTGACCATATTGCAGTGAGGCAAAGGTTGTCACATATCAGTGGATGTGCTGAAAAAACTTCAGGTCTCTAGGACGTAGGGTGAATTTCTTAGAATTGTTGTAATAACCCACGCCCACTTTAAGCAATAATTACCAAATTTTATGCATTAACTGAGTAGTAACTCTAGATCGTTAAAACACTATTTTGTATGAATCCATACAGCGAATTACCAGTTATAACCTTTTTGCAAGTGTAGCGCCCCCTAGTGGAAAAATATCCCATGACAGCTCAGCAAAGCTCGGGACCGAGCATCTGAATAGACCATAGACTGTATATAAAAACAACGAATAGACACGTCAAGATTGGTGACAATAGTTGAAGCCAATTTTGATTTGCGGGCATTTATGTAAAACTGTAGCCTAAATTCTGTTGATAACGTTTGATCAGCGATGTCAAAAATTTGCACAATTTGACATTTAAGAGAAGAAGACCACTGGAGCAATTAAATTCTATTAAAGTTCATGAAGGTGACATTCAAACATGCAGTCTTTGTCGCCATCTTGTGGCTGACTCATATTACTGAAACTAAAAACATGACTGCATTCTGAGAGGAGTAATTTGATATCTTACACATCTCTGATATCTTCTCATGTTATCTGCTTGTATTGCATCGATTTCTTCGGTAATCGGGAATA